TGGGGCTCTGGCACTTCTGATGATTCCTCTTGAGGAACAGGGATATCCTCAGGAGGGGGTTGGTTTGGAGCGGATGAGCTTGCGGGTGGAAGACCTGATCGTGTGTTTACCATGGCTTTTGGTAGCGATTCCCACAGACGGCGCCAATGATGCTACCAAAAATCGTACCTACTGATTTTCCGAGCTTGATGACTGGTGAGGAGCACGAACGTGATCTTCCGATACCTGAAACAAAGGCAACGAGGTGTGTTCTCGTCGCCCCTCCGATGCTTAAGTCAGAAAGGGAAATATATGCGTGAGGCTATGTGCTGAAGAACAATGTAAAACGTACCTGAATAATGGTTCAAGGTCCTGTATTTATAGGGGTAGGTAGTGTGTTCATATCAGGATTCCGCATTGCATCTGTAGTAGGATAGCTTGATTTTGCAATTTTATATCAATGAGTCCTACGCGAGATAGGAGTTTGAATTGTGGTATAATTGTGATACCAATAGAGTTCTTCTGGGCATAGGAGACATAAATTAAGGATATTTAGTCAGAATAAATCTCTCGTCGGACAAAGCGCTGTCGTAGGTCATAATCCCGAGGACATGTCGAATGATTGTGTAATAAATCTTCGGGCTATTAGCCCGGGCATACATGATACCCGAGCACATATGTCCCGAGCATTTTGATACTCATACCGACGAAATTGAGTCCTCGGTCTATATTCGTCGGGAACAAAACTCGGTTATATCAGGTCCTAATTTCAAAAAAGTTTCAGCTTCCCGAGGATGCTTGATGTCTACTATTTTCTCCAATCAATACCGTCTATTAATTACTAAAGACGGATGGTATCTTTCATTCATCTCAAATAATTGGCAATTGAATCATTGCGGGAGGAATGCTCCAAATGAAATTATGTCGACTTTTACCGAATGCAAGAAGTCTCTAACTTTTGACGCTTGCTTAAGCCCTCACTTTCAGCGCGCATGTTGTAGTGCATGAAGTCATTTTTATTTAAATCGATTGCTAATTTTATTGACTCGCATTAAATTCTATTTCATCACATTTTAGTTTTCTCTTTTCTATTTTGAACCAGACAACCTTCTATAAAATAATATTACATATAAATCAAAAAATCTTCATTCTTTGTCAACTACTCATTTTTTTAAAAAAATATTATTCTACCCATTTTCATAAAATGGGGGCCAAACGGGGGCTAAAAGTATAACTACATACCAAGATTGTCTCGAATTACCATGCGACGATTTGGGGGAGATTAAAAATCAGAATTTTGATAAAAAAAAATTGATAAAATATGTAATTGAAAAGTTGTGGACTTTAAAAAATATGTTGTTAAAGGTAATTGTTGACTTTAATTTAAATTAAAATTTAGATTTTAATTTTCACCAAATAGATCTTGGAGCGGATCCTTTGAATCTCTATAACATTACTTTAGATTGTGAATATTTATATTGAGATGGGAATTTATTTGAAGTGCAAAATCATTGGCTTTGGTTCCACCTCTTTAACACATCCCCCATTGACCATGTGGATTTGGCGATTATTTGTGCCATAACATCAATTTCATTTTTCCTCGGCCATTAGTTATACTTGGACATATTCATGAAAAAAATGTACTTTTTTTTTCCCTAGAAGAATAAACATGGGCTTTTTTGAATTGTGACTTGAGTATGTAAAATTCAATTCACTGTGCATCTAACGATTCATTCATCTAATGGTTAATTGGATATTGTTATAGCATCACACGAATATACTATTGATGCTACCAAAAAATCATACATGAAAGACCTCGAACTAGTTGATTGAACTTCGAACTTGGACAAACTTCAATGAACACGAATGATCTTCGAATATCTGAAACCAAGACGACGAGGTGTGTGCTCATCACTCCTCTGACACTTAAGTCAGATAGAGAATTTAGTGCGTGAAAAACATACCTAAAAAATGAGTCTGAGTCGTGTATTTATAGGTGTAGGCGACGGAGTCCTAGAGGGATTTAACCATCTGTGATCCTTATTCTCGTGGGATAAGGAGTTCTTATTTTACTAAAAGTGTTCCACTTGAGTTTGAATCGAAGAAGGAGTCAGTTAGGGTGAGAACTGTAGTTGGAATAGGATAGTTCTCTTCAGGGATCACGTCAGGGGGTTGATGATGTTATCTGAACAACAATACCTGACCTTTTCCATAGGCCCGACCTCGAATATGGCCAGCCTCACACTTGAGGGATTTGGTGAGAAATTAGGTCGGGGATGTAAGGTCGAGACTGGGTGTAAACAATGTTGAGTCATCAACTAAATCTACATCGAACCTGATAATAAATTTATTTTTGTCTAAATTATACCTTTTATTGTTCAACCTATAGTTAACGTGTAATTTTACCAGAACAATATTCAAATTTCTTTGCACTTAAATTTAACCGTATCATTATTGATAATAAGAAAATGACAAATCTTGACCAAAAAAACAAGATACAATTTTGGGCTGAATTGCTGCCAATGGAAATCATATCTGACTCAGGTGCCCAAGAAAAAAAAAGCTTATGGCGCACAGGAAATAACAAATACTTTTCATTATAATTTAGGCTGCTAATAATGATTAATGATGAACCCATTTCAATAATCATAATTTTTAACCATCGAACCTAGTCTGGCTCCACACAGCGTCTCGAACTCGACTCATGTCCCGCCCCTTAAGCGTCCGACCCACACCCTCGAAAACCGAATTGTTCCGGCTCCCTGCATATACACGAGCCAGGTACTCATGAGGAGGAAACAACTCGGATTCAACGTCGTCAAAGCCATCGTCCGAGTCATGCATCGACTCGACCGAGTCAACTCGATAAATTTTGGACCAATCCGGCACATTCACTGGGGCCGAGGTAGCCACATACCGCCCACGTGGTGATTTCGCCACGCTGTCTTGTCCACGGATTTGAAGCACGACCCTGGTTGATGACGTTTTGCTCGAATCAGCAAAAGCCAAAGACAACCCTCCGACTTGGCGGCGGTGTTGTTGGTGGTGGTTGGCGGTGGGCGGGTGCCGTAAACTCTGATAACTACTGAAACTTCCATTACCATCGACGGCGGCGCGTGAAGTCCAATCCCCGTTAGCCAAGTGATCATCAACCATTGACCAAACCTCATCTTCTTGTAGCTCTGATCCATCTGCAACTGTTTCTTGACCATTATTGTAACTAAAACTACCCAAAAATCGTTCACTTTGATTACTTGTAAATTTTCGACCAGTTGCCATCAATCACTAAACCAAAGAAAACAAACTCCGAGCCGCCGGAATAAAATCTATGTGTATAGAAGTTGATTTTGAGTGTATCTTAGGTTGCCGGAATCTTGATTTCCCGGCGACACAATCAAAAAAGAAGAACGCAATATACGTATTTGAGTGAGTAATGTAACGCTACAACAATAGACGGGGTTTCATTCAATCACATTTTGTCGACACTATTATGTCACTCTATATTCCACCTACTTTCTGATAAAGCAGCATTATTCATATCAATTAGTGATTCATATCAATTAGTGACCCGTGCGAGGATGGTGATTGTCAAGCTACATACGCATGTGGTAGAGTTTTTTTTGTTAATTCGTTTTGTCACATTAGGCCAATATTTTAGAAATTGGTCTAAAAGTTAGAATTCGATCCAAATTGAGATTGATCTTTTCGGATGATTAAATCATAGCTAGGGACAGTGAGCCATGAGAAATCCTGCATATTGTCAAAGAGCTACATGCTGCAAATCAATTGGTATCCGAGAGTAAAATTTAAATTATAAAGTTTCAAGTGAATTCACTCGTTCTCAACTTGAACCAACTATTACCTTTTTGTTTTGAATGGTTTTTATTTTTCATTAGTAATCACACCAATTTTGGGGTAGGTTCTCAGTCCACTCAAACATGATGGTTTAGTTCAATGGGTAATTGGTACAAAATGTTCATACCTTTCATTTTTTGACATTTTCGTCTCTATCATCCAGGTTTCTTTATGCTAAATGTCCTTTTCATCCATTTTTGAAAAGGAAAAAAATACAAATAAAAAAAATAAAAAAAAATAGAGAATTAATTGCAACCATGATCCCAAATTTTCAAAAAATTATAAATGAGTTACAAACTTGTTTACCTCACTGCAAAACCAGCAATATGAAAAACATCAACAATGGACAAAACCACCAAACAAAGAAAGGACTTCAATGGGGGAGCACCAAGACCACCAAGCTGAGTTCAAATTAAAGACAACACCTAAAATCAACCTTGAACCTGGACGAAATTGCAGTGGAAGAACAAAGACCTACTACGTTCTGTCTGAATTGAACCAAAGAAAGCCCAACAGATTTGAACTTATGAAGCTCCAACAAGGAAAACCAAGTTGTTGGCCAAATAAGAAACTCCAAATTTGAGTTGGAATCTGGCCAAACAAATGAACTAGAAACCCAAAGGAGCTCAAATCTATCTTTGACATCTCACCCGAAGCTTCAATGAATCTGGATGAATAGTAAAAGACCTAAACTGCTAAACTGAAAAAGCCCAAAACAACACTAAAGAGCTTAGAATTTGAGTTTGGGGATGAACAGAGCACATTATTGTACCGATAGGAGAGGTTTTCCTTTTGAGGTGCAATTGAACCAGGCCATACTGGGACGGAGTATGTTAAAGTCAAATGTTCCGTAGTGGGAAGAAGTCAGTGGGAAAGTGACTGCATGGTTGCAATTTGTAATTTTTTGAAAGTTTGGGACCATGATTGCAATTAGTTCTCTATTTTTTCTTTTTTTGTTATTGTTTTATTTGTATATGAGGGTAAAATTATAAAAAAATGAATGAAAAGGATGTTCAGCACAAAAAACCAACTATTACCTTTTTGTTTTGAATGGTTTTTATTTTTCATTAGTAATCACACCAATTTTGGGGTAGGTTCTCAGTCCACTCAAACATGATGGTTTAGTTCAATGGGTAATTGGTACAAAATGTCCATACCTTTCATTTTTTGACATTTTCGTCTCTATCATCCTGCTTTCTTTATGCTAAATGTCCTTTTCATCCATTTTTGAAAAGGAAAAAAATACAAATAAAATAAAATAAAATAAAATAGAGAATTAATTGCAACCATGATCCCAAATTTTCAAAAAATTATAAATGAGTTACAAACTTGTTTACCTCACTGCAAAACCAGCAATATGAAAAACATCAACAATGGACAAAACCACCAAACAAAGAAAGGACTTCAATGGAGGAGCACCAAGACCACCAAGCTGAGTTCAAATTAAAGACAACACCTAAAATCAACCTTGAACCTGGACGAAATTGCAGTGGAAGAACAAAGACCTACTACGTTCTGTCTGAATTGAACCAAAGAAATCCCAACAGATTTGAACTTATGAAGCTCCAACAAGGAAAACCAAGTTGTTGGCCAAATAAGAAACTCCAAATTTGAGTTGGAATCTGGCCAAACAAATGAACTAGAAACCCAAAGGAGCTCAAATCTATCTTTGACATCTCACCCGAAGCTTCAATGAATCTGGATGAATAGTAAAAGACCTAAACTGCTAAACTGAAAAAGCCCAAAACAACACTAAAGAGCTTAGAATTTGAGTTTGGGGATGAACAGAGCACATTATTGTACCGATAGGAGAGGTTTTCCTTTTGAGGTGCAATTGAACCAGGCCATACTGGGACGGAGTATGTTAAAGTCAAATGTTCCGTAGCGGGAAGAAGTCAGTGGGAAAGTGACTGCATGGTTGCAATTTGTAATTTTTTGAAAATTTGGAACCATGATTGCAATTAGTTCTCTATTTTTTCTTTTTTTCTTTTTGTTTTATTTGTATATGAGGGTAAAATTATAAAAAAAATGAATGAAAAGGACGTTCAGCACAAAGAGAACTAGAAGGTAGGTGCGAAAATGTCAAAAAATAAAAGTCATGGACATTTTCCATAATAAACTTAGAAGTATGGACTTTTCATCCCAATCACCCTTAATTCAATTTTGACTATATTGATAGTTTTGTGATTGTATTGAATTCTCGACATTCCTTCATTTATATATAAAAAAGCATGTTAAAAAATATATTTATGAAATGAAAGATTTTTAAGAATACTTCTATTGTGTATAAAAATATCTTAGCAATGATTATAGAGTTGAAATTAACAAAACATTCCTTATATATCTGTGCAGTTATTAAGCTTTAACCAAATTGATATACGTTTTGAACCCACGCCGCCCCCTCCCCCCGCCCCGCCCCAATATCCCACGTGGAGAGAGGGGCCACTAGAGCTATTTTCTGCTAGTCCTTTCACAGTCGAACACATGTATGACAATGAGGCTAAAGGGTCCCATCATTCCAAGTCACCATCCGTGCGACGTGTCTTAACAGTGACATGTTAGGTGGCAAAAAGTTCGAGATTTAGGCATGATTGTCGATTAAGTGGCCATTATAAAAAGAGATTGGGGAAAAAATATGATATTTTGAATAGTGAGTTTTTAGAAAATATGTAATTAAAAAATAGAATTTTTTTTTGAATTTATGTACATAATATTTTATTATATGAATGTGTAATTAAAAATAAGTATGAAAAATAAAAATTTTTATTTTAATGGAAGTCAAATGGGGGCTAACGTTTTACAAATAATTCAACTTTAATTTATCTGCATGATTACATGACATATTCTCAATATTTAGTCCATGTTTGATCCATATTTTCTAAAAGCTCTTCTTCTTTTTTTTTTAAACTTATTTTTAATTATATATTTTTCAAATAAAATAATTTTATACGTAAATATAAAAAAATTTCCTACTTTTTAAATACACATAATCCAAAAAATACTATTATAAAACATATTCTCAGTAAAGAAAAATGGAGCTCAAACAACCCCTTGGCACCAAGTCTCAAGTCTATTTTTTAAAAATAAATCTTGTAAAAAGTAACATTTTCGTAGAATGTATGATTAAAAGTAGTTTTTTGATCATTAAATATGCATGTAAAACTATTTTATTAAAATTGCGCGATTAAAAATGAGTTTGAGATAACAAAAATTTTAAAAAATGAGACTCAAATTAAAAGGGCTAAATAACTCTCGCGCGACTTGTACAATTTATTTAGCCCTTATTTGATTTTGTCAAAGATCAATTTTTAATAAATTTAGATAAAAGTTGATGAAATGTATTATCGAAAAATTAATAAAAGTTATGAAATTTATAAAATTTGTCATTTAAAATGAATTTTAGAAAATAATGAACCAAGCAAGAACTCAGCTTAACATATCTTACATGTCATGGGTAATTTAAAGTTATATTTATATTGATTTACCTTATGGTCACCTAATTTTATTTATTACAATCTTAATCACCATACTTTCCTCCTTATTCTTTTTTGAGTTTCTTCCTAATCAATCATGACCAAACTTGGGAAATCTCCAACAGGCATATATCTTTAAAACGTAGGCTATAACGATGTTAAAATGCAAGCTTTGAAACTTCTTTATCGATCAGATTATAAATGTTGACATTATTTATATTCATTTTTGCTCATTCATTCGAATATAAGCTTTTATAAGAAATTCATTAATAAGCATCAAGAACGAGTATCGATCAGAAAAGGAAATGGGAAATTTGTGGAAAGAAATAGGAAAAAAGTCTAGTGATCAAACTGAAATAAACTTATAAGTTGAGTGGCAGCCATTGAAATTCTTCTCGCAATTAGTATGTCAAAAGTCAAAACAAGTCTCATCACACGGAAAAATGTGTCAATTTAAATGTCATTTTTTCAATAAATTTTGATAAAAATTAATAAAATATCGAGATCTCAAAAAACATGTGAATGAAAAAAATAAATTTAAACAAATTGAAGCCAAATATGGACATAGTTAAGCCCCTATTTGGACCTCATTTTTGGAGAAAATGTATTTTGGATTTTGGAATAGTGAATATTTTGAAGAATATGTGGTAAAAAAAAAAAAGATTTATGTGTAAAATAATGTTATGGGAAATGTATGATTTAAAGTAAGTTTTGAAAACAATGGGCTCAAACAGGGGGCTAAAAGGAAATCATTATGCCTCAATGCTTATGCACTAACTATGTCAACGAAAAGGATCAATTGTTTTAAGTACAAAGGCAAGTCACCATCCGTGCGACGTGTCTTAACAGTGACATGTTAGGTGGCAAAAAGTTCGAGATTTAGGCATGATTGTCGATTAAGCGGCCATTATAAAAAGAGATTGGGGAAAAAATATGATATTTTGAATAGTGAGTTTTTAGAAAATATGTAATTAAAAAATAGAATTTTTTTTTGAATTTATGTACATAATATTTTATTATATGAATGTGTAATTAAAAATAAGTATGAAAAATAAAAATTTTTATTTTAATGGAAGTCAAATGGGGGCTAACGTTTTACAAATAATTCAACTTTAAT